AAACTGTCCAATTTCAACTTTCTTTTCCTGTTGAAGAGACGAGTCTTTCTAGTGTTACAAAAGTACCGTTGATCGGTGTATAAAATGATTCTGATGGTTTGGGGGCGTGTTTGATTTTTATGGTGTGTTTTTGTTTTAGCCCTTTGAGGTGGACCTTTCCCATGTTTACCTAGCTTACACTGAAGAAAGCTTAAGGCAATCTCTGATGAAGCTGGAGAGGCCGAGGACTTCAAAAGGAAGATCCAGGCCCAAGACGGGTAGAAGGTGAAGAACTTTGGAGTATCTGTTTGTGTTGGGGGTTTTAGCCAGGGGAAGGCTCCAGTTTGTGCGTGCAAACTGGCCGCAAGTCTTCAAACATTTGCTTAATGAGAAGACAAAATGCTAAAAGTTTACTGGAGCCAAGTGTGACAGAGCCAAGCTGAAATCTCTTTACTGTGGTAAAATCTGGTCCAGAAAGACTTGTCTGGGGATTTTTCTGCTGCCTTTTTGCTGCATTCCCTGCTTCTGGCTTTATTTTACTGTGTTCTGTGGTTTAGTTTAACTTCTGACACATTAACAGGGCGTATACTGTTTTTATGGAAAGTAGTGTTCTGTTGGGGGAGATTTCAGCATGGATTTTCTTGGTTATTTTTGGTTGGTTGGTTTTGACAAACGTTTGTGGAAAAGTGACACTGTGTAGTTTTGGCTCGAAATGTGGCTGGCCCTTGTATTTCCTAGACAGCATAACGATGTGCGTACGGTGCTATTTTTCCCTTTCCTTTCTGCTCTCCAAACAGAAAACGTTCGGCAAAGCCAGGAGCCGTCATTGACTCTCTGCTGCAGTAGGTGTGACCTGTTCAGAATTGCTGTAAAAAATCAGCGAGTGTATAAGATTTGGCCAGAATATGGAATTCAAGAGATGGCACTGTTTGACATGGCTCTAAAAATCCATGCCTTGCTGGTATGGAGCTTTATTTAAAAAAAAAAAAAAAATGTATTTTTTCTTTAGTTGCCCATATATCGTATGTTATATTAACATAATATTAAACTGGTAAATATGAATGGTTGTGAAATTACATGTGTTAAATGTGTTGTGCAGGGAAGCTATTGTTGGCAATCCTTGTTGAAATGTGTAGAAAATAAGGGTTAGGTGTGTGTTCAAGTGCTAGACACGTTAGCTCAAAACGGTTGCTGAAATCCTGAAATGTAAGGCCGGTAAATCTGATGTCTGCCCTGCTTTGCACATCCCTGGCAGCTTTCACTGTTGTCCTCTGTTGCACTGATCCCTGTTTGGATGTGGCTGCTGCAAACCTCGGAATTAAAGAGCATCAAACCCCGTTATTTAAATATCCCCCACTGTGGCTGTTAACCTGATTGTGTTGTGTATCAAATACACAGTCCTTCTCCCTTCATTTGCTGTCTTGCTGTACAGGGAAAGTAGTTGGGTAGGGAAAATGAGAACTACAAAAGTCTGAGACTTCTGGGAAGGGACCATGTTGTGCTTAAGTGCGACAGAAAACAAGTGTGGCTTTTGCTTTGGTCGGGATGTGTGTGATCTGGCACTGTGGGAGAGGGGCCTTTGGTGCAAAGGCAATAAAAGCTTTTTTTTCCCTTCCTTTTAAGGCTGTGTTGCAGCATTGCTTTGGCTGCTTTTTATGCTTCTGAGCTGGAGGTTTTTAAATGTGTGAATTGTTTTGTAATCTGAACAGCAGAGACTATTTAAGGGGAACGCTGTAATAGTAGGACTTGGCTTCAGCCTTGGGACTGAGAGTGTTACAGCTCCATTTCCTCATCCCTGGTGAGAAGGGCACTGGACCAGTGCTCTAAACTGAGGATGAATTTACTCTCCCATATGAAAACAGGCATGAACTACCCAATTTTCCCAGAACAGTGACATCCCCTGAAATAGCTGATGCTGTTTTTTGTTCCTGTGTAGACTGTATCATCTCGGGTTTCTGGCTGTGCTCCGAGAGGAAAAAAAATTCTGGTCTCTGATAATAACCATTTATTTGTGGTGGCTGCTCTTTTTCTTTTATATTTATGCTGCTAATAGACACATATCACTTTAACACATTGCTTTTGTGTCACAGAGAAAAATGCATCTCCTGGATTGCATGTGCTTTGTAACTCGTGCTGGAGCACATCAGCTGCAGAAATGTGAACAGCTCCCGTGCCAGGGTGGTGGTGATTAGCTGTAACTTCCATGTAATTTAGTGTTACCTAGAGCTTTAAAAAGCTGTGCTTACTAATAGGAGAAATTGAGTCCTTAAGCATGACAGAGAGAACAAGAGAGCTCCTTAGGTGTCCTGAGTTCTTGCTAGTAGCCCTGTTTGCAATTACCAGAATGTTCTTGTGGAGTGCGTAGAGTAGCTAGAAGTTGGTGGCCCTTTCGTACTGTCCTGATGCTTAACTGGATGTACCTTGTGACTCCTGACAGGTCTGTAACAGGACCTGTCATAGTTAAAGCTGGTCTTGTAAGGGCATATTTCGCTCTGGAGATATATTCAGTGCTCTTCTAAATGACTTGTAAGCTTTCCTCTGTGTTTTTTTAAATGTGTTTGTCAGGATCATGACCTAGGAGAAGGACATACTGCCCTCTGTTTTGGGGTGGGGAGGGTGTGTTGCCCAAGTTCATGCAAGATTTGGCTTTGTCACTTAAGTTCGTACAAGATACAGACACTGGCATTGTTTTTTCTCTAGCCTAACCTTTAAAAAGGTAAATACTCAGAATTTTTGCCTGATCTAAGCTGTAGGTAGTTTTGCTCTTCAAGAGCTGACCTTACTTTGAATGTGCTTGGATAGAGCTGGGTTATCTCGTGTTGCATATTTCTCATCAAACAAGACAGACTGGAAGTGGCTTAAATGCTGTTTTGTTTTACACCTTATGTCAGTTCTCGGTCCAAAAAGATAGATGTGTCATTTTGGCCTGTACTGGTTTTCAGACCAGTGAGAACTGTGTTTCCCTTTATGTTATGTCTTGTTGCACTGGGATTTGTTGAATGACCTGTTTTTAAGGGAGTTTCTCTTGAACTGTGCTTTCAAAAAGAGCATTGAAAATTCTTTTACCTGACAGACATCAGTGGCTTAGATACCACTGTGAGCCATAGCACTACATTTAAAATATTTAAAACTTACCTATAAATGCATATGCTTTGTGATTTAATGTTACAGTCCTGCTGCTGAAAACAAGAGTACTCTACATGCTTAAGTGAGCTTTGGGGCAGAGAAAACACTAATAAATAACTGCCTGCACACATTTGTAATTGGCAGGTTGGAGAGACTGGTTGTAATCTGTTACAGGAGCTTGGAGAACAAATTACCTGTTCTTACAAGAAGACTTTAAGTGCAATGCTGTCGTGGTCATGATGATCTATCAGCTTGGCTTACCTTTTAACTGGTGTGTCTTGTTGAAGTTCTGGGAACTTTCTCTTAAAACCAGGGAGTCTGGCTTGCAGATTTACCATATGGGATAGTCCTGGACAAACTGTGAATGTCTAATGGGTCCATAACACATTTTAATGAGGAAGGGGTTTGGTTTCTGTGGGGCTTTTAAGAGTGTAATACAGCCATTCTCATCCCGGGTCAGTACATGCTCTCAAAAGTCATATTACCATAATAAATGTGCTGTGTGTGCTCATCTGTGCATCTTGCTGCCAGAAGATTCCCCTCATTCCAGAACATCAACCTTAAAGTTGAGGTTTTTGACACTTTATGTTTAATGTCGTGTAAATGAATTCTTTCCTATTTAACTTGCTCCCGATCCTTTCCTTAAGAGGAGGGGAAAATGGTCCTTAGTGCCTTTCACTGACTACACTGTCTGTACATGTCCAGCTTCCACCTTTCTCAACAGTTCTGCTTAGCCAGTCCTGTATATAAGAAAAACTGCTAGTCTGTCTGTATAATTTGTCTTCCTATTTATTGGTTTTCTAACTCTGTTTATTTCTGATTATTCTTTGTTTTTAGGGTTAAACTTTATTCATTACACTGTATATATCAGTATTGTGTCCCTGGAGCATGTTCATACCACAAAATAAAATTCTTGATTCCTAGTTCCACCTCTGTGCATGTTTTTCAGGTAACTTTGTACGTACAGCATCTTTCTCACTCAGTTGAGTCAGATGATGTGTTGGGAAAGTTGGCTAAAATAGTCTGGGTGGCTCTGTGATACGCAGCACTTGCTGGAGAAGTTAGAGAAGTGAGTCTGGGGTGTGTGGGGATCCCCATTGCCATGCCCCAGGGCAGTGGGCAACAAGCTCCTGTGGAAGAGGTAGAGAGGGCAGAACAAGAGGATGCTTTGCAAGACTCTGGAGAAGACCAGCGAGATGAGGCCAGTATGCAAATCACGAGATGTGCCCCAACAGGCTGATAAGCCCTCTGCTCCTCTGCTGGGGCTGTCCTGAGCTGCCCTTACCAGGGGAGAGCCAGAGCACCACGAGAGCAGCTTCTTGTCCACTGAAGCACTTGGTGCTGCCTGTGTTCTGCCTCTTCCTGCACGCGTGTGCCAAATAGGTGGCACAGCTGATGGAGAGAAGGCTCTTCACACTGCTCTGGCTTTGTGTCCTTAACGCTGCACCGCAAGCCTCTCACACCCTGTATTGATGCAGATGGTGTGAATTTACCTGCAGTAGTTGGAAATGTTCAGCTCTGTTTCCTTTGCAGAAACTGTGTTGGTCTGCAGTGCCTTTCTTCCTCTGGAAGACGTCTCAGCCTGCTCATGCTGTAGGTAACAGGTTTTTTGTGGTCTGCGAACTTTGCAGCTCCCCTGAGTACCGTGACTCAGTTGATGCACGAACCAAACGCTGCACAGTCCTGGGACTTTCCAAAGTGCTCTCCCACGCCGTGCCAAAGTAAGTTGCAAAATAGTAGACACCTAAATACCTGCAAAACTCCAGTCCCTTGTTGCTAGAGAGGCTTTAACCACCAGCCAGGTCTGCTGCAGGCTGGAGTCATCCCTTCAACGGTGCAGTTTTGCTCCCTGTTGCTGTTTCTTTCACTCCTGGGCCGCAAAGTACTGTGCCAAATATAAATGCCATATATATAAATATGTGGTGATAGTATAAATATAGGCTATAAATAAACTATAATAAAGTGAGGGGAGAACAAAGGGCCTGCTCAGCTATGGACCTGGCATTTCCCTTTGCAGCTCTAGCACACGCTTCCAAGCTCATGGCTGTCAGAAGCAGGACGTTTTTGTGACCTGCCTTCTCCAATCTGGCTTCCCCTGGGCTTTTTCCTCAGCTTAGACCTGCTTTCCTCGTGTTAGTACAAGCCTTAACCTCACAGCAGGACCAATTCTGTGTTTTGGCAGCTCTTGCCAGCAACACCCTCGTGCCAGTGGACTCTGTTCACTGTAGTCCCGTATATTTCTTGCAACTTATATGGCAAAGTAGTAAAAGTGACTTCTGACTTTATGGTTTTAAACCCATTTATTTCTAAAGCCCCAGTTCCATCTAGGAACCTGTCAACTGCTCAGCGCTGTCCCTCTGTGCCCTGGTTTCCAACCCAGTCACAAACTTGCCTCCTTCCAACAACTTGGGTAGGAAATACCCATCCTCTGTTCCCTGCCCTGGAGTTTGTCATCAGACTGGTCCCCATTGCTTCTGGCCTGACCTTGGTGCTGTGTCCCAGCCATGACCACCTCTTGGGCCCCTCAGGGTTTCTGTGGGGGGTGGTGAGAGGGCTGAGGGGTCTCTCCAGGAGCTGGGGGCCCCCAGGCTGGTGGGTGCTGCTGGCTGGCTCCTGCCACCCAGTGTCCTACGCTCCAGCTGGCACCTTCGAGCTCTCAAATGTGCTCCTGTGCTCTCCAGTTTCTGGCCAAGAAACATCTTAAGCAATGATGGCAAATTTAGTCCAAAAATAGATTTATTTAAAGAATTATTATAAATAATCTTTGAAAAATACAGTGTCATTATAGTTTAAAAACAAAAAACCTGATGTTTTTCCACTTCAAATTCTAGCCTTTTACTAATCGTTGGAGGACTCTGCGTAGGTCCACTAGGAAATCAGTCAGTGAAGTAGTGGTGCCTGGTGCCACGGGACATGGTGCCTGGAACAGGATCAAAAAAAGGCCATGAGGATGCTTCCCGGGGGGATATCTGGTTCCGCAGCGTGGCCGTGGCTGCAAAGGGTGGTGCTGGGGAGGACTGGGCTGTGCGTGGGGGTCGGGTGCTGAGCTGCTCACAGAAAACACAGCACCATCAAAACTGGGAGCTGCTGAAAAGCAGCAGAGCCCAA